TCGGCACTTCTCGAAGCTCAAGCCGGGCTCCAATGGTGATGAAGATCAAGCTATGGCACTTGGAAACTCTGGTTCGTCGCTTTCTCTCTCTAGGGATCGCTTTCTCTCTCAAAAACTCGGACCCCTTCAATGTTGGCCTTCTTCTTCCTTTTATCAGCTGCCAGATCGCGATACCCGGTCGGGTATTTTGGATTTCGACCGGGTATAATCAAAACGCACCGTTTCTTCGAGGGGAAAATCCCCGGTCACTCTCCATAATCCCCGACCGGGGGTTTAAGCTGTTTGCCCGGCCCCCTTCTGTTTCTCGCGGGGCGCCCAAATGAATAATACCCGACCGCGTATTTCTAGTCATGGCTGGGTATTTTCATCCATCAGCCTCCTTCGTCCCAATTTCGCTCCTTTCAACCCAGAACTCGTTTCTCCGCCTCGATTCCAACGCCGGGTCCTGAAATATGACATAAACACACAACCTAGCGTGAAATCGGCTTAAAACACGAGATTCCACATCACGAACGGCTTCAGAATAGGGGTGAAAATGTGTGTAATTATCGGTCTATCAGAAGACGTTTTTGCTTAGTCCGCAGCACCCATTAATATTATTTTAAAGGGTTAATACCTTATTTTGGCCCGAACTATAACCATATAATCAACTTTGGCCAGTGGTTTCAGAAATTAACATCCCGGCCTCAACTATGCAGCATATAGACTCAATTGGCACGACACATAGTTTGACTGTCAATTTGGACGGTCAACTCTGTTGACCGTTAGTCAACATGTCATGTCAATGCCTAGTTAGCATAAAAATCATTAAAAAATTCAAACTATTTTTCTAATTTCTATTATTTATCATTTTTCAATTAACCAAAAAATAAAATTCTAAAAATATAAAATAATTTTCTTTGGGATATTTGAAAATGCTAAATTTTATAAATTAACCAAAATTATCAAATTAAATTTCATAAATTTAAAAATTATTATATAAATTATATTTTTTTGGGAAGTTTTAAAAATATAAAATAATTTGATAATTTTTGGTTAATTTATATAATTTATCATTTTCAAATTATCCTAAAATAAAAAAATAAATTTATTTTATGTTTTTTATAATTTATTTTTGGTTAATTTGATAATAAATAATTTTTTTAATGATTTTTAGGCTGACTAGGCAATGACATGGCGTGTTGACTAACGGTCAACGGAGTTGACCGTCCAAATTGACGGTTAAACTATGTGTCGGGCCAATTGAGTCTATATGTTGCATAGTTGAGGCCAGGATGTTAATTTCTGAAACCACTGGCCAAAGTTGATTATATGGTCATAATTCGGGCCAAAATAAGGTATTAACCCTATTTTAAAAGTAGCCCAGAATTCTTAAGCAATAAAATTGTTATAAGCTTTTTGCTGTTGCCTTTTGTGATACATAGATGCGTAAAGGCATTCAATTCATTTGAGAGTAAAAAGATAGGGTCAATTGTTAATCCTTGACATAGTTAGGAAGTTAATCCTTGGCATAGTTAGTAAATACTCCGTTTGATACACGTATGTGTACTCATTCGTATTTTATCTGTTTAAAATTTTTATATACATATTATTGCCTAGTCGTTTCATTTTTTTTTCGTTCACTTGATAGCTCTCGTAGTAACCCTTGACATAGTTAGTAAATACTCCGTTTGATACAAGTATGTGTACCCATTCGCATTTTATCCTTTTAAAACTTCCATATCCGCATTATTGTAAAGCAGTTTCATTTTTCCCCGTTCATTTTTTTTTTTTGCTAAAGAGGGAGGTCCAACGACCAAGCAGAAGAAATTACAAGGGAGGCTTAGAGAGAGGAAGGAAGAGGACGGGAAACGATCTGCCTATCAAAACTAACCCCCATACAGTCATCGCGGAGGATGGAGGCCACTCCTGGTGGCGGATTAGCAAGCTCATACATACCGTAGGGATAGACGAGACTGTGCTTCGAGAGCCAGTCCGCGACTCTATTCCCTTCTCGATATGTATGAGTAATGCTAACCAGCCACTCCTGACTTAACTTCCTTCGAATCGCTGCGATCAAGGTTGCATAAGGATGAACCGGGTCGTGTCTACTGTTGAGGAGTTGTATAGCCAGTTGAGAGTCTGACTGAACAATGAGAGCTCGACATCCATTCTTCCAAGCCAGCTCAAGACCATGAAAAAAGGCCCATAATTCCGCAAGAGCCGCAGTGGCCGTACCGAGACTTGCGACGAAACCAGCTCTCCAGCGCCCAGCCTCATCTCTCAAAACGCCTCCGGCGCCCGCCTCCCCAGGATTCCCCTTGGACGCTCCATCAATGCTCAGGGCCATCCAGCCTGCCGGCGGTGGAGTCCAAGAGATCTCGGCATTGACGCGAGCCTGGGGTCGCATCCTGGCGCACGGCAGTAAAGAAGGGGAGTTCCACGCTTCATACCAAAGTCTAGCCTTGTACACGATGGAATGCGCAAGGGAAGGAGGCGAAAGGCCAGCGGCGATTCCTTTGAACGAGATGGTGGTTCTGTTTTTCCACAGCAGCCAGACCGCAACACTGAAAAAGGAAGCCCAATCCATTCCTGCATCAACAGAATCCGAGTTAATCAAATTCTCCTGAATCCAAGTCGCCTCATCCAGGGTGAAGAAACGGCCTTGTCTCGGCCCTGGCACGTGGCGAGTCCAGAAGAAGAGAGCAGCAGGGCATTCCCGGAGAATGTGCAAGATCGTCTCGGGAGTTCCTTGGCAGCGGTACAGAAGGGATTCTGGGCAACCTTCCTCGTGAAGCGAAGTGAATTGGTTGCCACTTTCCCCAAGAGAACTGTCCACATGAAAGTTCTAATTCTTTCAGGAACCGGAAGTCGCCAGATGATTTTCCAAAACTTTTCGTCGGGATCTTGCTGAATAGGATTGAGGAGCTCATAAGCCGATTTAGCCGTGAAGCGCCCATTCGTCGTTGGCGACCAGAAAAGAGTATCTTCCTCCATGGAGAGAGGGTCGACGGCAGTGCTCAGGATCTTCTGTTGGACCTCAATCGGAAGCAAATTGGCAAAGAGATCTGTCCGCCACCTTCCGTCGTGAGTGACGAAATCCGCCACCACCATCTCTTCCATATCCCCCGGGATTGCGTTCATAGCCACATCTTTGAGAGGTACCTGTAAAATCCAGACATCCGACCAGAAATTAGTTTTTTTACTATTTTTAATGTTCCAAGCGCAACCCTTCCGAAGAAGGTCAGTGGCTTTAGCAACACTGTTCCAGGTGAAGGAACTTCCCTGAACTGGTCGAATAATGTCTAAGTCCTTCCTGTTACGACCGTACTTGGAGCGCATGACTTTCGTCCACAGACTGTCATCTTCCTTGAGGAGGCGCCAACCGCTTTTAGCAAGCATAGCCAGATTTGCTTGTCTAAGGGAACGAAGACCTGCTCCACCCTGCCTTTTTGGAAGGATCATCCTTTCCCAGGCAACCAAGTGCATCTTCGATTTATTCTCTTCCTCGCCCCAAATGAAGTCCCGATTAATCCTGTCAATATCCCTACACACACCACTCGGAATCAGCTCAGAGTTCATATGATACACAGGGATTGAACGATTAGTTCCTTCTGTGTTGCCAGCCTTTCCAATTGGGCCCGAGCCAAGCAGGCCTTTCTCTAAAATATTGTTTTCAACCACCAATTTCCTTTTACCCTTGTCCGCCTCTTCTCCATTCCTCTTGTTTTGAAGACACTTTCCCATTCTTGTCCGAGTTTCCTTGGCCGATACCTCCAACGTCGTTTTCCGTCTTTCCTTTCTTGACAGGATCTGATATGATCCAAGTTTCGCAACTACAAACAATTCAATTGATGGCCAAAGGATCAATCAACGTTGGAGTGAAAAATGGTCGAATTTGGCTAAGTGGTTGGGTTGTTTCGTGGTGCTTGCTTTGCAGATACATATCGTACATTATGGTTGATGGAAATGCGAGAGGAAGATTGGAGAGTGAAGGGAAGGTGTTTGTTTATCATCCTGGATGGTTGTTTGCACAAAGTCAAGTCCCTAAGTTCCTGAACGAAGAATGTCAAGTTGCTATGGTAAAACTGGAAAATGCCTGTTTTTGGGCTAAGTCTGGGAACAGTTTCCGACACCATCTTTGGAGGCTTATTCAATTCAGATGGTGTAACTTTGAAGGACAAGAAGGTTTGGAAATTGCACTATGGACTCAGGAGAGCAAACGACTGAAGCCGGTTTGGGACGTTGATCCTTGGAAAGCTTCAATCGAGGGCTTCAAAGATGCTATGGAGACTGGTACCATTGCTTGGCAGGGAGGCAGCAGCGTGGACGAGAAGCAATTGGCTAAGTGGTTGGGTTGTTTCGTGGTGCTTGCTTTGCAGATACATATCGTACATTATGATTGATGGAAATGCGAGAGGAAGATTGGAGAGTGAAGGGAAGGTGTTTGTTTATCATCCTGGATGGTTGTTTGCACAAAGTCAAGTCCCTAAGTTCCTGAACGAAGAATGTCAAGTTGCTATGGTAAAACTGGAAAATGCCTGTTTTTGGGCTAAGTCTGGGAACAGCTTCCGACACCGTCTTTGGAGGCTTATTCAATTCAGATGGTGTAACTTTGAAGGACAAGAAGGTTTGGAAATTGCACTATGGACTCAGGAGAGCAAACGACTGAAGCCGGTTTGGGACGTTGATCCTTGGAAAGCTTCAATCGAGGGCTTCAAAGATGCTATGGAGACTGGTACCATTGCTTGGCAGGGAGGCAGCAGCGTGGACGAGAAGCAATTGGTTTTTGTTACCTTTTAGAGTTGGGATTCTGTTTCCTTGTCAAGCTAGAGTTAGATATTGTTTTCCTTGTTAGTTTAGAGTTAGAATTAGGCTGTTTGTTTTCTATTTAAAGGCTTGATAGCCTCGTGTACATTGGCAGAGTTTTGATTGAATGAAAGTTGTGACCTTTGTCACCAAATACTTGTGTGTTGGTTGCGTTCCAGCAGCGAGTTTGCTTCGTATCGATTGAAACCATATCAATCGTGGCCGAGCTTCGACTTAAACCAATCGAGCCTCTTCCCAAGAGTGAAGTTGCACCTTTGGTCCGTTTTATTTTTCGTTTTAAGTTGCTTACATTCGAGTTTCGTTGGAAGAAAGTTGAGCTGTGCACTTTGATCCCCTACAAGCACTACCGTGCTCGTATTAGGATCCCTAGAAGTGCGCCGGTGTTTTTTGGTAACTAACATCCATGGTCCAAATCCAGCTTGGGGCTCCGGCGACTCCACGAGGCTGATCTCCGGCAAGGTTTCACCTCCGGTGATCACTGCCAGGTCCAATTCAGGTTGTCGTAGGAGAGGACAAGTGCTGTTCGTATGATCAATTTTCCCGCATTCGAAGCAAACAATGGGAAGATTCTCATATTCGACCTTCTGCCACCCGTCATCCAGGAATATCCTTGGAACTAAAGGTTTATCAAGATCGACTTCGACGGCGATTCGAGCAAACTTTGCTCGTTGCTGGTTGAGAGTATGATAGTCAAGTTTGATTGTTCGCCCGATCAGATTCCCTAGCTGCGTCAGTACCTCCTTATGGTAGAAATGGATTTTCAGCGCTGGGAGATGAACCCAAACTATCATCTTCTTGGGAAGCGGGTCCGAGCTCTTGAACTGCGGCGTCCATTGTTGGACTAACAGGTAGTGATCAAAACTCGTCCACGGACCATCAGTAAGCGCTTTGAAGTAGTCTTGCTCGTTATCTAATTTCACCAGAAAGCACTCGTGGTCGAGATCCATGACCTCCAGGCTTCCGGTGGGTCTCCATTGCTGACGGAGTCGAGAACAGAGTGTTGCAAAGCCTACCCTGCTGCCCAGAAGGCGGACGACTAGCGTTTTTTGCCACGGTGCGCACAGCCGAGTCTTGAATCCCTCCGAGACTCTTAAAGCAGGCTCGCCGTTGTGTTCCCCGGGGACCAGATCGTTTTCTCCAACTGGCATCCATTGATTCACGACAGATCGTGGCTGGGCTTGAACTTTCCCACCCCTCACCGCCCCGGCGTAAGAGACGATCGCCGAAGCCTGTGTAATATCGCCATTTTCACTCAGAGGAGTCGGTTGTTGGGTTCTTGTCGTATCTCCCACGAGTGTGGAAGAAGGGTTTGCAGAGTCGGGATGCTGAGAGGTGTCTGGCGGCCGTCCAGAGGGGTCGAGCGCCATCACCATAGGCGTTTTTCCGTCGAGAGTTGTCGAGAGCATTCAAACTAGTTTTCTCAAAATTTGCACACGTTTAATATTCGTATTTAATGGATTAAATAATTAATTTTACAATTATTAATTAATTACTTCATTTATTAAAATAATCAATTTTATATACTTATAACTATTATCGTACTATTAAACATAACATTAATTTAAAGACGAAGTAAAATACTCTGCGTATTTTATACATAACTTTCCCGTACCGTTACTAATTATGATCCTTGATGTAGATTTACAATGGAAGCATTCAACGCACGTAGTTTAGTGTCCATCCACTTTGAATTGTAAATCTTTTGGATTGCAGCTCAATAATAAAGTTTAACACTAGCACAAAGTTTGCCATGACAAACATATTAAAGTTGTGAAGATCATATGAAAACTTGGTCCAGGAGAATTTAACACAATAATCAACATCTTTGTAATAGGACAAGCTCACATTACCAATCAAAACAACCTCTACAAGATTCTTCTCCTCATAAACATTGTTTTGGAAAAAATCCAAAAGTACCACTGTTTAAAAAAAAAATTCCAAAAATACCACCCAATTCCAAAAAATTCCAAAAATACCACCCTTTTTCAAAAACCGCCACCCCACCCAGCGGTTTGGTCGAAAACCGCTTGTCGGGGGCGCGGTTTTGGACCAAACCGCAGGCCTAGGGGGCGGTTATAAAAAAAAAAAATTGGACCAAAACCGCTGGGTGGGGTGGCGGTTTGGCCCAAAACCGCCACCCCAACCAGCGGTTTGGTCCAAAAGTTCGGTCGAAACTTCAAACGAACGTAACTTTGCACTCGGGTATCCGATCGTAGCGATATTTTTTTTCATTTCGCATAACTTTTCAAGATCGTAGCGAAGACGGAACCCGACTGTTTGAGACTTGCAAGATCTCAAAAAGTTATTCGGATTCAAAAAATGGAGGCCGCAAACTTTTTGAGATCTTGCAAGCCGCAAACCGCCGGGTCTCGCCTTTCGTCAAACTTTGGGCGGCCATAACTTTGTGCTCCAAACTCCGAATGTTATGAACTTTTTTTTGATTCCACATAACTTTTCAATATCTACAACTTTTAATATAATCATAATTTCAAAATGTACATGGATTTCTGAAAAGTAAAGGTAAAGTTATTCTCAAGGTCCCGTATATCCACAAATAGTTCCTGTTTTGAAAATTTCATCCTAGTAAAAGTTGTAGATCTTGAAACGTTATTGGAAATGAAAAAAAAAATCACTACGATCGGATACCCGAGTGCAAAGTTACGTTCGTTTGAAGTTTCGACCGAACTTTTGAACCAAACCGCTGGTTGGGGTGGCGGTTTTGGGCCAAACCGCCACCCCACCCAGAGGTTTTGGTCCAAATTTTTTTTTTTTTTATAACCGCCCCCTAGGCCCGCGGTTTGGTCCAAAACCGCGCCCCCGACAAGCGGTTTTCGACCAAACCGCTGGGTGGGGTGGCGGTTTTTGAAAAAGAGTGGTATTTTTGGAATTTTTTGGGGTTGGGTGGTATTTTTGGAATTTTTTTTTTAAACAGTGGTACTTTTGGATTTTTTCCCATTGTTTTTCAGGGTTCTTGTAAAGATGGATCATAACAGGAATCACCATCAGACTAACTTTTAATTGTGCCTTCACTGGTTGCGCTTCTTCTTGGGTAATGAACCTGGTTTTGGCATCCGATACTTTTCAGCATATTGAAACTTCCAGTGCCGTGATATTTGAATCTCAGTTGACATATCTCGCCACCTGCATACCCGACCCCCAATTAGAGTGCTACTCAGCAGAATGCAACAAATAAAACAATCTAACTTGAATGCTTTTTGTTCAATAATTATATCCATCTGTTTCCATCTGAGCTACACCATCATGTTCGATTTCAGTATCAGGAATTCCACTTGTATTAGGTGCAGTTGACTCGCCAGGATCATCAACCAAGTCACCACGTACATCACTCCTGATCCAATCAACATTGTCATCATCACTGTGCATCTCTTGTTCAACTTCAATCATGTTGCAAGTTTCACTCTGTAAATGTTCATCAACATCACCATCTTGTTCGACTTCAATCATATCACAAAGATCTCTTGGTTGAGTTCTGATAACCACTTGCCACTGACTATCAATTGGATCTGGAACATAAAACACTTGTTGGGCTTGCGATTAGGGATGGCAATTATGCCCATACCCATGGGTATTTTACTATCCAACCCAATTGGGTTGGGTATGAAATCCAAATATATATATATATGTGTAAAGTTTGATGGGTTTGTACCCATACCCATTTATTTTGGGTTGGGTTGGGTTTATAACAAATGGATTTGGGTTTGTACCCATGCCCAAATACAAATTACAGTTTGGTACCTAAACTTAATAGATATGCATATTTAGTACCTAAATTTAATTTTTTTTGCATATAAGTCCTCAAAGTATCGATGGAAAATTACGTTTGGCTACCTAAATTTTTTTGGTCTTACATTTTGGTACCTAAAATTTTCAAGTTTTACAAATAAGTCCAATTTTTGCATGTGTAGTTAAGACACCCTCAAGTAAATGGATATCCATATCCAACCCATACCCATTTAGATAATATCCATATCTAACCCAAACCCATATATAAACCCCAAACCCATACACACATCACCCAAACCCTACCCATAATAGATGGGTCTACTTGGGTTTGGGCAAAATTACCCATGGGTGGGTAAATTGCCATCCCTACTTGCGATGCCAAAATGAATGGCTCCTTGTCACTCATCCGTCGAGAGAAATTAACCAGTATAAAACCCAAATCATCTTGCTTTAAACCTCTGCCACTTGACACCCAATCACATTTGAACAAAACTACCTTCTTACCAACCCAATAATCCAATTCTATGATCTCCTGAATAACTCCATAGTAAGTGATGTCGCTATAGATTGGTCTCGAGAACTGGCGAAGCATTAAGTGCCCGCAGTCACCATCACACCACTGTTCTACGTTTTCCTTCTTTCCTCTCGACCCTTAGTGTGAAACCTAAAACCATTGATGATGTATCCATTGAACTTTCTAATCACATTGATGTGTTCGCGCCAAGTGCTTTAATTCCTCCAGTTTTTTCTTGGATACATTATGAGTTTCTCCTCCATTAACCTGCAAATGTGAATTGTGATTTTCATACAACTTAAAAGCAATGAAATATTTGCATCAACAAACTTGCGAAGAACTAAAGAAAGATAGAGACTAGTGGACTTTCATAGACACATCAGTATTGAAATATTTGCATCAACAAAGTTGTGATGGGAATATGAACTGTTGTCAAATCTAAAACTTGCCTGATCAGCAAACCAAACTCGAAATGTTGAATTGTGAAGGAGTTGAATGGCACGAGGTGAAGCACGTAGGTTCTGAGATTTCAGGAAAGCAAGATGTTGCCTGCAAAATTTCAAGATATAATAACCTGCATAGAACCGACAGGAAAACAAATAAACCAAAAGGTTTCAGTTCTCTTACTCAACGAAAGGGAATATATCCTCACAATTAGACAAAAAATATTGATGTGCTTTTGCTAAAAGGTCATTCTTCAAGACTTCCTTATTTCATGCTCCTATCAGGCGGCCCAACTTTGGAAAGATTGAAGATGATTCTCCACCCACAGATTTAGACCCATGATCCTCGTTGTCTTCATTTCTTGAAGGGCGGTTTAATCGTGTCTCCACTCCTTGTAAGTACCTTGCACAAAATGACATGCACTCTTCAGCAAGATGACCATTAGCAATAGAACCTTCTGGTTGCGCCTTGTTGCCAACATAAGACTTCAACGTAGACAAATACCTTAACAAGTAAAAATAGCTCTATCAACCAAAGGGCATAATAAAACCAAATACAGTAATATAATATATTGTTAAGAATCATTTAGCATTATAAATTTTCTATTTTACGTGACAAAGACATAAGAACTTACCGCTCAATTGGATACATCCATCGTCCTTGTACTGGCCCACCTTGCTTTGCCTCGGACACCAAATGAACGGTTAGGTGAACCATGATATCAAAAAATGAGGGAGGGAAGATCCTTTCCAATTCACAGAGAGTCAAAGCAATTCGAGCTTGTAAACGGTTCAAGTCCGCTACACAACCAACCTTTGAACATAGTTCTTTGAAGAAGGAGCACAATTGGATCAAAGGCTTACTAAATGCTTTGGGTAATACTCTTCGTATTGCCAAAGGAAGAAGTTGTTGCATTAGAATATGACAATCATGACTCTTCAAAGAAAATAGTTTACGCTGCTTTAAGTTGACACATCTAGATATGTTAGCAGCATAGCCATCGGGAACTTTAACACTCTTCAGTACCTTACAGAACATGTTTTTCTCTTTGTCTGATAATGCAAAACAAGCTTTAGGCATGTATAACTT